AGGTTCCAGTAGGCCGTGCCTGTGCTGCTTGGTGGTGTGATGTCAAGCGCACGGTGCAGGTAGGCAGGATGTAGCGGGGAGATTGTTATGTGTGGAGCTAAGATGGATATGGGAGAGTGGAGAGAGGAACAGGAGCCAAAAACATACAAACAAACAAAAAAGAATCCTAGGGGAGCTTGCCGTTGGAATGGAGAGATGAGAGACTATGAAATGGAGAAAAACAGAAAGGGGAAGAGGAAAAAAAGAAAAGAATGAATAAATAAAAATCAGAAAGGTTAAAGAACTGCAAAGTTCCCAGGGATCCCACCTGTGCAGCTATGAGGTCTGGGGAAGTCGCTCTCAGGTGTCGCAGCACAGCTTAGCCAGAAGGTGCAGAAGGCATGCAACACCTGGTATTCAGGGCTCAGAAAGAGAAGAAAGATATTGAGAGATGAGAAACTGAGCAATGAAGAAAGACAAAAAGGGAAAAAGAGGGAAAAGAAAACAAAACAAATTAAAGAAAAAAAAGAACAAGAAAGCCCCCCCCTAAAAAACAGGAAAAAAAAAAACAATGAAAAAAGAAATGCCCTCAGGGATCCTTCTGCACTTCTGTGGAAGCTGAAGGGGAGTTCCTTGCCACGCAGCTCCACCTGGCCAGAAAGGGCTCCCAACTGAAGAAAAGGAAAAGAAAACAAACAAACAACTGAAAATGAATAAACGAACAAAAGCCCCGGGATCCCACCAGCGTGGTAGCCCAGACCTGGAAGCAGCTTCACATTCGAATGGAGCTCTGCAGCCCCTCGGGAAGAAGCAAAGATGGTGCATAGAGCCACGCGCTCAAGCGAAAGGAGGGGGAGGTGGCGATAGGTAAGCAAGAAATCAAAAGAAGCAGGAAAAAAAAAAGCGACACCAGCAGCCAACAAATGGCACTTAGAGAGCCAGCTAGTGCGGGCTGGTGTTTCTGAACAAGAGACTGTGTCCGTGAGAAGCAGAGGAGGCCGAGTGTGGGTGAAGAAGGGTAGAGAGTGGGAAAGCGTATATCACAAATTGCCTGCGCTCTGCCACCCCTCAGGAAGAAGCAAAGATGGCGCAAGGAGAGAGGCACTCGAGCGAAAGGAGGGGGAGCTGGCGAGAGGCAAGGAAGAAATCAAAAGAAGCAGAAAAAGCAACACCAGCAGTCAACAAATGGCACCCAGAGAGCCGCCCGCTTCGGTGTGTGGAATCCAAGCAGCCGGAGCTTCCCGGTCAAGAGACCGTGGCTGTGGGAAGCAGAGGAGGCCGAGAAGGGGCGAAGAGGGGTGGGGAGTGGGAAAGGGCACACCGCAAATTACCGGTTGTTTTGTCTCTCACTGGACGCTCCGTGAGGCTGCTTTCTCATACCCCCATGTGCTGGTCTCTGATGGGTGTCCAAGATGGTGGATCTGCGCTGCGTTAGCTGGTAGGGAACCTCTGCATGATTCTCTCCTCGCTCTAAGTTCTCTGTCAGCTTTCTCACTCCATTTGGTGCTTGGCTGAGTTCTTTATCTCTTCATTTGATGTTTTAGGGTCTCAGGATTGTTGTATTCTCTGTTCGGCTTAGTTTTTCAGATCTTTCCTGTTGAGGGACAGCGTGGTGCTTCTGTCTAGAACGGCATTTTGCCAGAACTCCAACAATTTGATTTCTTGTTGAAGCTAGTGATGGTGGAATTCCTGAGTGGAAAGCTCTTGCATTAGTGGAGATAGAAATACAAGATATGAACAGTTATGCTCCTGAGTTTACAGTAGAATACTACAATCTTAGCTTAAGTGAAGATGCCCTAATTGGAGGCACCTTTATCAGATTTTCAACTTTTTATCATGACTGGACCCATGAAAACACACATGTTGAGTATTCCATCATCAGCAGTAATTCACAGAAACATTTCAGTGTGGAAACTAGTTGCACTCCTCCGGAATGTCCTTACACTCAAGTTGGTTATCTTGTGTTGCTTCACAGTATGGACAGAGAAGTAGCTGTAAGTCATCAGCTTGTTGTTCTAGCATCTGACCATGGCTGCCCTCCATTGAGTTCCATAGCCATCATATCAATAGAAGTACTTGATGTCAATGATAATCCACCTAAATTCACCCGTCTAGAATATCATGCTCACATCAAGGAAAGTACATTTTTAGGGAGTCACATCACTGTGGTCTCAGCAAATGACAGTGACATGGGTTCAATGCTGAAATCATCTACCACCTAATCTCTGGAAATGAGAGGGGGCATTTTCACTTAGAAGAAAAAACTGGAGTTCTGCATTTGCTTAAACCTCTGGATTATGAGGAAACAGCAAAATTCACTTTAACTGTCCAAGCTTCAGATGAAGAAAATAAATATTTTTCTTTTGCAATTGTGTTTGTCAGTGTCCTGGATGATAATGACCACACACCTCAGTTTATGTTCCCCAAAGTGAACTGTCCTGTTCTAAAAAATCTGCCTGTATCCTCTACCATATGTTCTGTAAATGCTTTAGATTTTGACAGGGGTCCTTATGGAAAACTGACATATTCTATCACCCTGTTTTAGCACTCCTAAACAACGTTATGATCATGATCTCTTCCTCACTGATCCTTTTACTGGGGATATACAGGCTAAGCAAATCCTTGACCATGAACTTGAAAATAAATACTGCATCACAGTTCAGGCAAAAGACAAAGATGATGCAACAGCCTTCTTAATCTTGTGGGTGGATATTGAAGGGATAGATGAATTTGAACCGATTTTCATACAAGATCAATATTTTTTCAACCTTCCATATAAAAGTGAAGTAAGACAGTTGATTGGCAAAGTGGAAGCATCAGATGTTGATGCTGGTATTGAAGGAATTATTCTTTACTCCCTTGGAACCACATCTCCTTTCTTTTCAGTAAATAAAACTAATGGAAATATCTATTTGACTAGAGCCCTGCCCCTAGTAAAAAGTTACATTAGCAAAGAAGACATTATTGAAATGAACATAATCGCTCACAGCCCTAAACTGGACTCCAAGTTTACATCTTGCACTGTTTTTGTGAATGTGTCATTTTCCCCTGAAGGAAAATACTCAGCAGTATCAGCCAACAGTTTTTCAATCAGCCTTACGGCTTCCTTTCTAGTGTTTCTGTTGCTGGTATTCATTCTAATTATACTAGTTTTAAGACATAAACAAAAAGATACAGTAAACAATTATGAGAAAAAGAAAACCTCATCTTCCTTAGATGTCAATTTGAGATTGACTGGCGATGTCAATATGCTCAAGGCCTTCCAGAAAACGAATGATTGCAGTAACGAGGAAGTGCCCGTGGACTCCCTGCCTGCATAAGCATCATGGAGAAGGACATAGTACATCTGTACAGACACTCAAATTCCAGCAGCCACTGTTCTGTGGAAGGAGAAACTGCAGAAGATAAGGAAATCCAGAGGATAAATGAGCATTCTTACAGGAAGGACTCTGGTTCAGCTCTGATTGATCGGGATTCCAGAGTGCCAGATTCTGGAATCCCAAGGGATTCAGACCAGCTCTCCTGCTTGTCTGGAGAAACTGACCTGGTGGTCACTGTGGAAACAGAAAAGAGGCATACACTGGAGGAAGGAGATGGAGGAGGAAGCCATGGTACAACCTACATTCAAAATGATGCTTTACCTCCTACACTTTAGAAGAGAGGGGTAAAAGAGGACATCCTGGCTGATGTCAGAAAAGATTACATCTTCATTTCAGGTGATCAGGAAGCAAGAGGTGCAGCTCCTTCAACCCAGATAAGCTCTGATCACGATGTAAGAGATGGTGGTATCTGAGACCGTCTCCTCAGTTGGGAACCCAAGTTTCAACCTCTTGCCTCAGTATTTAATGATATTGCAAAACTGAAAGATGAACATTTGCATATGCCTGGTCTTCCAAAAGATAAGAAATGTTTTGTTTTTCCACAACTTTTGATAACAGCAGTAGCCTAGTCTGGAATTAGAGCACTTCCACCAAGAATGCCAGCCACAACTTCAGGGCAGGTACTTCAGAAATACCCATACTCCCCCATTCTCTACCATCTCATTCTCTGCCAGAAGCCATGACTCCCAGTTTTTCTCCATCTCTTTCCCTATTGACCATACAGACTCCTGCCATGTCTTCACTGTTGTCAAGCGCGGAATTATTAGGAACACACTTAAGTAGTTCTTGCCATGAAAGGAAAGCAGAAGATGAAGCTCAAATATAAAATGACGGTAATCCCAGGCACTTGTACACCATCAATTATGAATGACTGAACAAAACTTCCTCAAGAAAGCACCTCAAGATTGGAAGATTCTGATCTAAGAATGAGTGATCTAATTTAATCAGGGGTTTTTGGAACCCCCTCATGTAAGTATCTCAAATTTCTTCCACCCTTAATGAGAAGTTACTCCCTCTTTTAACCTTTATGTTTGCTCAGGACTCGAAATTTGTATATATCAGGTAGTGTGTATTCTGTCATACCTGGTTTTCTGTGTGATTAGAAAGACATACATTACAAAGGAGAGAGTGAGCTTTACTGACTGCCAAGCTATTTATGTGAAAATAAGTGGAAATATAGTGCCTTCTGGTCACATCACTGCTGGTTAGACTCCCGTATTTCAAACAAATTAGTAAAGATTGAATAGGGAATGAGTTTAGGACAGAAAGTAACAGAGAGGGGAAATCTAGAGGGACAAAGTTAAGTTTCAAGGGTAATGTTAAGTTCTGTAGATCTGATATATTTAGAGATACATTTCTTCACTTCCCCTATATACCACACCTGTGGAGTTTAATCATAATTTGAATTTCAAGGTGGTGTATTCTAAAAATCTGATGAGAAATTAAGAATGAAAATTTTCATAACTTTACGCCAATAGGAAGAAAAACATTTAAAAAATCATCCTTCATTGAATGAATGAGAAATGTATGTTCTTGGAAAAGAGCTAGGATTGATAATAGCAATATGTGGTTGACTGCCACCTAAGATATGTTTCCTTGGCCTTCTTTGCAAATAGAATGACAAGTTGTTCAATACGCTGTCTTGTGACAGAGTACATGCATAGACATTAACATTTGAGATTAATTTATGAAACTGTCTTCATTTTAAATTTTGTTCTGGACACAGTTATTTTCTATAAGAAATAATTTATGCACTCAATGTCAGTTAAAGGGTTTGTGTAAATAAAATTATGTTATTAGCTAATCATAAATTTCATAGAGTAATTTAGCAATATATTTTCAAGTGAAGATTTTTATATAAATTTTGTTACTCTAAAAGTTAAGAATCAATGGGGATTAGAAGACTCTCTTCCATTTGCTCATACTCATGTGTAGCTTTGTCAGTACGGAGTAGTTTGATAACATGGTTAAAATAATTCCGTTTTGCACAGCTATTGTTTTAGAAATATAATAGTGCTCAAATGTAATGATATAGTCTTCTCTCTGTAAGCCTGAGAATCCATGAGAGATTCTTATTCATTTCAGGGAGGCAGAGAGCATCCTGATGATGATGATCCGGAAGTCATACTCCCGTGGTAGCCACCATGGCCAGGTTTTGGACAGTTTGAAATTCTAGCGTGAAATCTGATGTGGTTTCCTCAGTAGTTAATTTCCATAGGCCTCATCTGTGACATTATATGAAATAACTAATTTCTTTTTACTGGAAAACATTGCAGGAAGCATTCAGCGTTTGATATCCAGTTTTGTAGAGGAATTATTCTAAGCCTTTCTACACCAATATTATCAATGATATATCTTTGCCGATTCCTAAACCTCTATGAGTCAAAAACCAACTCTGCAGCACCTAACAACAATAACAACAACAAAGAAAATTATATGAAACATGAAGACTTTTGGACAAGCGTGGAATCCTAAGGAAAGTCAGTTATGTGTGAAACATTTAAATATTATAAGACTGATACGTGTCTCCCCTTTTCTTCAGAACATCTGGGGAAGAAGAATTCATGACTTTTTATAAAAACACATTTAGAGCATTTCATCATTTCAATATTATCTCTTTGACTCTCTTCAAAAGACTGCTTTGAGCATATCAAAGAAGCTCTATAATAATTTTTTCTAATTATATATGAAAGTTTTTTGCAACATAATTATTTATAGAAACTAAGAATATTTTGCTTTTATCTTAGACAGTTTCTACATTTACTTATGTTTAAAATCAATGTAGCTCAGTTGTCTAGGTTATTTGCCTGTGATTTATTACTCATTCAGGACATGATCCTGTATTTTTTTATAGATGTTTCATAAGAAGAGACGACATGAAGTATTCAGAAACTCTTCCTTACCAATGTCTAGCGGATTTTTAATTGATGATTTTATTAATACTGTATCTAACACAAAAACACCACCAAACAACTGCTACAAGTGGGGCTGAGGGTAAAAAAACATGAACATGCTAGTTAAATGTTTGCAATAAATCATATGTCAGCCCTTTCAACTAGAGTGTTTTTTCTTAAGTAAACAATATAATTTGTACAGTTTTCCTTCAAGTTTAATATTAACTTGCCTCATATGTTCTGTATTAGTTTTCTGATCTGCACACCGGCTTTAGCACTCTGGAGGGGGTACAGAACTTGTTAGTGGAAAATCACATTAAGCCCCAAATTCATAAGCTATAAAATAAAAGACAGTTGTCTCTTGTGGAATTTTGGCTGCCTGAAATTCTGGAATATCTTGTTGGCAGCCTTAAGAATACTGGTGTAAATCAATACCAAATGGATATCAAAATTCCATGTCCTAGTAGTAATCATTGCATTGGCTTCCAAAACAGATTCCTGGGCAAATAAAGGGGAAAATGCTGTATCTTTAGGAAATGAATCATTTAACTATTCTTTAAAAATATTAAAATGTGCTTAAACTACTGGCTGCCTACATGGATACATCTATTTAGTCTATAATTGATGTCCATCTGAGAGAGGAGTGGTGTTTCTCGACACCTTTATCCTCAGTTTCAGAGACTTTATAGTGATGAAAATCAATTCTTAATTATAAAGTTATTTTCATCCAAACATATGTTCTGTTACTTTTCCTTTTTTGTTTTGTTTTGTCATCTTATACATACCTTGAATTTGAAAAAAAAAGAAAAAGGCAAAACTTTACTAAGAGGAGCTAAGATGATGATCCACCCCAAAGTAATGACATATATGGAGTGAACATTGCCTTAAGCAGTTTATCCCCACAGGATATTATGGCTGAGCTCCTTGCCTTGGGTTTATTTTCACAACATGTTTTAGTTGAGCTCAAAAAGGCAATGTCATCTGTTTGTTTATAGCTGAGGAGAGTTAGAATGGAAGGTCATTCTGTACAAGAGAGACACCAGGACCAGTGTAGTTGCAGAAACTCTCACTTGTGAACAAAACCACGTGTCCTGGGGGAATCTTGCAGGCGGGGGTTGCCCATTACAGAAGAGGGAGGAAGGAAGAGAAAAGAGAGGATTGAATCTGAAGGAGTTGTTTAAGGCCCAGGTAGAAAAATGTAAGAAGGAAGAAGGGTAAGGACTTGCGACGGTAATTTTTAATGTGTAAAGATTTTGTTGAGTCATTTGCTCTTCACAGTTTCCTTCTTTTGAGGAATCTGTTTTCCTCACCTTCCTCTCAGTTCCAAGCCTCTCCTTCATTGTATGACAATTTAGATTCATCAAGTTGTGAACCTAAGGCCAGGTGACTATAGACTAGAATACATCTGATCACCAGAACTTGAATTTATTGGATTTTTACCCTGAATTTCAGGAAGAAAAAGTAGGAATGATTATCTTACCTTATTTCCCTTGCTACGTAACTGGCATTGAGTGTGCCACAATTTAAATAAGTAACTTTACATGTATACCAAGTAATGGAATTTCATATGGAATTTTAGTACTGTCTTAGTCATCTAGTGCTGCTATAACAGAAATACCACAAGTGGATGACTTTAACAAAGAGAAGTTTATTTTCTCACAGTCCAGTAGGCTACAAGTCCAAATTGAGGGTCAGCTCCAAGGGAACGCTTTCTCTGTCCACTCTGGAGGAAGATCCGTGTCACCAGACTGCCTTTGGTCTGGGAGCTTCTCTGTGCAGGAACCTTAGGTCCAAAGGACGTTCTCTGCTCCCAGCACTGCTTTCTTGGTGGTTTGAGGTTTCCATGTGTTTCTGCTAGCTTCTCTCTTTTATATCTCAAAAGAGTTTGGCTTAAGACACTATCTAGTCGACCTCATCAGTATAACTGCCGCTAATCCATCTTATTACATCATAGTGATAGAGTTTGCAACATATAAGGAAATCACATCAGATTACAAAATGGTACACAATCATACAATACTGGGAATCATGACCCAGCAAAGTTGACAGATATTTTGGGGGGACACAATACAATCCATGACAAGTACCTAGTCTTTTTTTTTCCCCAGGTCAATAGTTTTTTGTTTGTATGTTTGTTTTTAATGAGTGCTTGTTTGTTCGTTTTGATTTTATGTTAAAAGATTATTTCTCATATAACTTTTCAAATAACAGTAAAACTTATAGAACTAGGGCTTAGTCTTCATTCTCAAACATTGTCAATTTTTTTTTAATTCTAGTGATATAAATTATTTTCATTCCATATAGATCAAGGAAATTTGTCTACTAGAAGCAGAACTGTGGCAATTTTCAAAAGATCCAGCCCCAAATGACTGCAGTATCCAACTATACCTTTCTCATATAAACTCTGCCTTTGGCTATTTTGATGACTATTAGCACTTCCTACTGTTTTGGGCCACATAACCTTCCTCGTTTCACCCAACACATTTGCTAAACCAAAACTGTGAAGTGAGTAATGAGAGGGGAAAGCATGCCAAATAAATAGCAGATGCATAAGCACATCTCTCGAATAAGAAAACATTATTTTGGTTAGAAAACTAAATAAGTGAATTTCATTGTTAGATAGTAAACCCTCAAGGCAAAGTCCTGGTCTCCACTTGTATTATGAAGTACAGACGGTTTACAGAATGAATGAGTGCATGTGTGAATGGGCGCCATAATGTGAGAGTGTGACACATAGGCCTTGAACCCATTAAGTGAGAATTCTGGCATAGCTCTGTGATTTTAGCTGATCACATGGCAGAGAGAAAATAAGTGCCAATATTTTATCAAAATATTATGGAATATCTTAGACAAAGTCCGAGGATTAGAAATTCCTTCTATAATCTGTTTTTTCTCTCTCTCCCTTCCTTTCTTACAATATACATACATATATAGTGAATTTTAGACATAATAGAAACAAGCTACAGACGACATTCAAAAGCAGATCATTTGAGGCAATGACATACATGTCCAAGCACATTGGTTTAGTTTA